TCACTTTGTATCCCCCCATAAGCCCCACCCTCCTCCCCTCCTAATCCCACCTTCCCTCCCCCTTCGATTGATTAATTAAAAGGCTCGATTAATTAGACAATCAATTAAAAGGCCGAGCAAGCAGCATTTTCGGCCATCAGCCTCTAGAGGGCGCCACAGCCCGGCAGAGTGGGGCATGCTTGTGACCTGGAAGGTTGTGTTTTCCATCACGCATTCTGTGTTGGGGCATAGGGAATAAAGAGGGTTGGGCAATTTTCTTATACTAACCATCATCATCATCACCATTATTATCGCAGGGCCTCACGATGTGGATGTGGTGCGGGTTGTCTGGGATTAAAGCCTGGAGCCACGACAGTAGCTTGAATGATTTTTGTGTACTTATTTGTAATTCATATATTTTCTGAGACAGGGTCTCTCATGGTCCAGGCTAGACTGCAGCTCACCACACCAAGCTTGCCACCTCCTGAGAGCTGGAGCGACGGGCCTGAGCCACCTCACTGGGTTGCCTGGCTTTCTTATTTATTTATTTGTTGTTTATATTTAAACACAAAGTGTCACTTTAAAAAAAGATTTATTTATTATTTATAACAGATAAATATCCCTGGCAGACTCTTCTGTTTTCGTGAAGGCAAAAGCAGAAAAGCAGAGACCCGCCTGCCACTGCCTCCTGAGTGCTGGGATCAAAGGCGTGCGCCACCAACACCCAGCTTTTTTTTACATTTTTATCGATTCTCTGGAAATTTCACATCATGTACCTGAACCGCAACCGCTTCTCAGACCATCTCCCCTGCAAAAAGCAAAAAGAAACCAGGTGGTGGCACACGCCTTTAATCCCAGCACGTGGGAAGCAGAGGCGGGCAAATCTGTGAGTTCGAGGCCAGCCTGATCTACCGAGTGAGTTCCAAGATAGCCAGGGCTACACAGAGAAACCCTGTCTGGAAAAACAAAACAAAACAAACAACAATGACAACAAAAATAAAAAAAATAATAATAATAATAAAAAAACCCAACAACACCTGATTCCAAATTGTGTTTCTATATGCTCAGTGAAGCCTGGTCAGACTCTCAAAGGCCTGTCCCTTAGTGTCTTAGAGTCTTAATGGAGAAGCCAGGGCAAGAGTGTGGTGCATTGCTAGAGCTCCTGCCTACCGTGGAGGAGGTCCTGGGTTCTAAGCTAAGCACCTCGGAAACAGGAGCAGGCCAGTGTGTTCAGTGGTTAGAGCACTCACACTTACAGGGCACCTGGGCTTCGTTCCCAGCACCCACGTGGAGGCTCACAGCCTTCTGTAAACTCCTGGGGACCTGCTGCCCTCTGCAGGGACTGGATGGAAATGGCACACAGAATTCTAAACTGATGCCGAAGGAGATTTTAGCCCGGTGCCTGACCTTGGGGACACAAAGAAGGCCCGGACCCGGAGACCCCACAGACCCCACAGCTTGGGCTCCAAAGGACTGGAGGGCCAGCATCCCGTCTCCGAGGTGCTTCTGCTTGCCAAGAGTTCCCTGGAACCTTCTCACCCATGAAGCAGTCACTGATGAAGGCAGCAAGACATCAAGGGCGAGGGCAGGGCCAGCAGGGCATGGACAGGCAGTCCACCTTCCTCATGTCAGCAGGAGACGCTGGGCATCCACCGTGGACAATAAAGTCACCATCGCATCGCTGCCCTGGCACACGGATCCTCTGACTTCTGTGCTCGCTCTGGCTCCCGGAGACGCTTCTCCAGCCGTGCCCACCCCGGGACTGACCCTGCAGGGACCACTCTCCATCCCCATCCTGCAGTCCCTGGCACCAGACCCCTGGCCACCTGCCCGCCATGCCCTCCTCAGCGCCTCTGTCCCCCACGGCCCTCTGCCGAGATGCGCCAACCTCACGGCGTTTGCACAGGCTGTTCCTGGACTGGAGAACCCTGCCACCCTCCTGGCCACTCGCTTCCCTCCCGGCACTCCTGTGTCCAGCTCCTGAGCTCTGGGATGAGGAGCAGGGCCTCAGTGGGAGCGGGGCCCTTCAGGGTGATCTACTGGGCAGATAGCGGGAACAGTTTCCCAGGAAGGCCCTCTGCTCTGTCCCCAGATGTGGCTGCCAGGGGCCGGAGGAATGGTTTAGCCCTTGCAGCATGACCACGAGGGCTCGAGCTTCCTCAGAACTGAGGATGGGGACGGGGTAGGAGGGCCTCACCACCACCTTCCTGGAACAGGCCTGAGTGAGGACATTGGAGTGTCAGGCTGGGATGAAGCCTGATAGTTACCCGAGAGAGAGCAGAGTGCCCCGTGGCCACCCAGCCACACCCTGTCACCATCACAAGAGCTTTACTCACACCAGGGGCAGAAGGAACTCTCCATCTTCCCCCCCGCAGCTGCCCCCAATGCAAAGGTGGAGAGGCAGGCTCAGGTGCGCAGATAAGCCAGGACGGGGCCCAGAGCAATGGACTCGGGTGTGGCCTGGCCTGGCTGCAGGGGCCAGGGTGAGTCAGGCGCTCTGTCCCTCGAACAGTGCAGTCTGTCCCGACACGCCCAGCACCGCTCAGAACCAAGAGATCAAGCTGCCTGGGAGGGACAGAGGCAGCTCCCAGGAGTCACCATCACAAGATTCACCTTGTGGTAAAGTAGCCAGCAGGGGACAGACCTGGTCAATCATAAATTGATTATTTACTGCCTCTCCAGGGATGGAGCTCTGTGTGCCCCAGGGCATGATGGGGGAAGAAGCCATGACTCAGCCACACCCCCAGCCCCTCACTGGGGGATTCTAGGCAGAGGTGTGTGGGGGCTATGTTGCTGAGCTACACCACGCCCCGGCTCTCTTTTGCTTCAGTTTTATTTATTTTCATTATTATTATTATTATTATTTTGTTTAAGTGAGTTTTGTTGTTTTTCTTTCTTTTTTGTTTTTTTCCAGACAGGGTCTCTCTGTGCAGCCCTGGCTGTCCTGGAGCTCTCTCTGTAGACCAGGCTGGCCTCACACTCAGAGATCCACCTGCCTCTGCCTCCCGAGTGCTGGGATTAAAGGTACACTGTGCCACCGACACCCAGAGGCTCATGTTTTTCTTCTTCTTTTCTGTTCTTTTGTGACAGGATCTCATTACCTGGCTGTCCCGGAGCTCACTGGCCTTCACACTCATGGAGAACCCCCTGCCTCCGGGTTAGGGTTGAGCCCGCACACAGGCTTCTCACATGTTTAGAGCCATCCTGCCTGGCCCGCTGGCGGAGCACTTGCCAGTGTGGCAAGAAGCCATCACACACACGGCTGAAGGACAGTCGCCTGTGACCCCGAATTCTGGCCAAAGCAAACACTGCCCAGGAAGCAAACACAGATGCCCCCCCCCCCGGAGGACGGAGGGGGCAACGGCCTGGAGGGCATGGTGTCGGAGGGGCTGCGACTCCGCCTGGGGGCACTGTGGACATGGGGCTGCGTTGTGCTCCGTGGGGCGTCTTAGGAAGGAAAGGGAAGGGAACCAAGCAGCGTCCCCGGCCTCCCCGCCCCCCCCCCCCGACTACAGGCTCCTGCCAAACAGGTGCCCGAAAGTCCCTTCCTCCTGAGACTGCCCTTGGCACCTCGTCCACTCATTAACTTCCCAGCAGCTTCTGGCCAGACATCGTCCACGTAAAACTCTTCGACAGGCCTCAAAGCCCTTCATGCCCCATCCCTTCCCTCCATCCCCCCTCTCTTCCCTGCACTAATTCTGGCCCTCTCACCCTCTCTCCATCACCTCTCTCCAAGCCTCAGCTCGAGGAGTCCCTGGGACCCCTTCGGCTCAAGCTGTGCCCAGGGGTTCAGCCCTCTGCTTTTATTCCTTCTGACTCGGTTAGTGATCTCAGTTAGCGGTCGCCGATGTGCTCGCTTACTGCACAGGAGCTTGCCTCTCTCTCCCCCGGGAAGCGTCACCTCCACCCCGTCCTTCTGCTCCAGCCTCGGGAGGGCCCTGGATGCCCCCCACAATGCTCCGTCCTGCCCCGGGGCCTTTGCACGGGTGGCCTCTTCCGCCTGCAGCCCTTTCCAGCTCTCCTCCCCTTGGCTGACTCAGTCTCCCAGCCAGGACTCCGGGTGGCCCCTGCTTCTTGCCATGGAGTCCTTTGGTTGCTGGATGGCGTCTGTCTACCGAGATGTGGCTCATCCGGCTGCTCGTGGATAGTTGACTGGTCACGCCTAAAGCAATGGCAGGCACACGGGAGGTGCTCAACGAGCAAGCATTGATTGTGCACCAGCTGTATACCCACCCTCTTCTGGGCAACAGCACCTGGTAATGACCTACAGAGTCTCTGGAGGCCTCTGTGGCTGGAGCAGAGGCGGGAGTGGGGGTGAGGGTTGGGGGTGAGGGTTGGGGAGTGAGGGTGTGAAGAAGTCAGGAAGCAGATGGACACGGCAGACGGGGCTTTGAGGGCTGGGAAGGAGTTGGCAGAGAGTTTGCCCAACACGCACAGAGCCTTCTGTCCCCCGCTCCACATAGGGCAGGTGTGGTTAGCCAGGAGCTGGAGGGATCAGGAGTTCAAGGTCCATCCTCAGATGCACAGTGGGAGGCCAGGCTGGTCCAGGGAGACAGATGTGGCAGAAGGCCATCACAGGCACAGGACGGGCGCCCGAAGGCAGGTGCAAAGGCCCTGGGGTAGGAAAGCGCAGTGTGTATAAATATTTGTCGGCTGAGTTCATGCGGGGCAGGTGCTCCGAGAAGGGATTGATTACCACGTGGGACAGTGGGGGACGCTGGGCGGCTGGCCCCCCACTTCGCTCCCACGGAGGGAGGAAAATGCCCACTGTTTTCCTCTTTCGCAGGTGCGGCAAAGCCCGCCCAAAGACCCTGGCTCTCGTGGGGGACCCAGCATCCAGTGACGCTAGACAGAGACAGTGGCTTTAAGTAGGTGAGAGGTCGCCGGCCCCGACACCCCAGACTTTGTTCTTTGGCCCCTGGAAAAGCACGGGGCAGATAACGGTGGCCCCGCCCCCCTCCCTCTGTTGCCATTGGCCCGCGGCCCCGCCCGTCTCCCCCGTGGCCAGTCGCGGCGGGAGCTGGGCCTGGAGCTGCTGGCCCGTATTTCAGCATCCTTTGGGGGTGGAGACGTGGCAAACGGAGCCTCGGGCTGCGCCGGGGACCCTGGAGGGGGCTGCCACGGGCTCGGGGCTCATGGATGTGGACAGAGCGACCGGAAAGGTGAGGGGCCGCAGGCCGGCAGGGCCTCAGCATGCCGGGAAGACTGAGGCTGGAGCGGGGCTGCCAGGGGACCCCACAGCCCCCCAGGACCTTCAGGACGGGTTGAACCAGGCGCCGGTCTCTAGAAGAGATTTTGTTTGCTTGTTTTGGTCTTTAGAGACAGGTTTTCTGTATAGCCCTGGCTGTCCTGGAACTCTCGCTGTAGACCAGGTTGGCCTCGAACTCACAGAGATCCGCCTGCCTCCCGAGTGTTGGGATTACAGGCGTGTGCACCACCACTGCCCAGCCTCTCTAGAAGTTTCTACATATATATATATACACACACATATATATATACACACACATATATATATATATATGCGACACACTGGCCATATGGATCGCTAGATTTTTGCTTGTTTTTTTGTTTTGAGTCTTGCTAGTGGTAGACCTGGCTGGCCTGGAGCTGGCCATCCTCCTGTCTGCCTCCTGAGAGCCGAGGGGACAGCCTTACACCACCATGGGTTTTAAAGACTCCTGGCTTTCTGGTCCCAGCTCTGTTTACACTTTAAGCAGACTGGCAGAGACCCGGCCCAGCGGCCAAACGGAAGTCACATTTGGCCTGGACGGACCTGGGTGTTGCCTGTGTGTGTGTGTGTGTGTGTGTGTGTGTGAACAGATGTGACCTGGCCCTCTCTCTCCTTGCTTCAGATGTCGTCCCCTGCCTGCGCCATGGGTCCCTTGGACAGCGTGGAACTCCTTGACCTGCTGTTTGACCAGCAGGATGGCATCCTGAGAAATGTAGAGCTGGCTGAGGGCTGGAGCCTCGCCTCGGAGGAGCAGGTGAGGGTGTCCGGGGGACATGTCCAGCCACACGTCCAGCGCTGGGGCAGGGACATGTGCAGGACACGCCCGTGGCCCCGCTGGCCTGACCCAGGCAGCTGGTAGCCCTCACTACGGCCTTTTACTAGTAGCTAGATCGTCCTTCTAATGGGTGTCAGGGGTCAGGCAGAGAGAGGGCAGGCACCACCCAGAGCCAAACAACCAACTTCCAACTCCTGTCCGCTCACTGTCCAGAGCTTTCCCAGCTGTCATTTCATGGCTGTTGGCTCTCAGACGCCTCCCTCCCTGAGAGAGAGAGGGCCGGGGTTTGCCCAGGCTCACACAGCAGTCTAAATAAGCAGGTGTCTTCTCTCCACGCCCCGTCTAGAAGGTTCTACCACATTCTGACTCTGATGACTTCCTGACTTCCATCCTGGGGCCTGGAGACTCTGACCCCAGCTCCCCCATATGGTCCCCCACCGACAGCGACAGTGGCATCTCCGAGGATCTACCCTCAGATCCCCAGGACACCCCTCCCCGTAGTGGCACTGGACCAGCTAACACGGCAGCCAGGGGTCATCCAAGCCAACAAGGCAAGGGGCCTTGCCCCTCCTACCTGCCCAGCACCCCGTGCCCTGTGCCTCCAAGGACACAAGTCCTTGAGTCCTCCGTGGCTATTGACCTGGGTGAGTATGGGACTGATGGACACCCTGGGTGGGAGACACGGGGGGGCCATTTCACAGATGGAGGGGACCCTGGGAGGGGAGCGCACCACCTCAGGCCTGAGACACACGCTCCCTCAGGCGGCTTGGACAAGAGACAGACCAGACAGACTGGATTGAGGAGACAGGGTGGCCTGAATCTGGGTTCCTCCAAGTATGGTGAACTCAGTAGGTGCTCAATAAAAGCTGGGGAGATTCCAGAGCCCTGGCACAGGAGCAGATAATGCCCTGAGAAGGACAGCTTATCAGGGGCCACCCCACAGATCAATAATGATTTACTTCGGGGACATGGATCAGCAACCCTAGCCAGGGAGAGCCCCAGCCCAGGGGAACTGGGCGGCCTCTGGCTAGGCTCCACCCCGACCACGCCCCCAGCCCCTCTCTGGGGCATTAGAGGCGGGGCTCCACCACGACCACGCCCCCAGCCCCTCTCTGGGGCATTAGAGGCGGGGCTCCACCCGACCACGCCCCCAGCCCCAGGCTCAGAGCGGTGAAGGCCCTTTCCCAGGGTCACGCAGCTCTGCGCAGTCTCCTCAGAAAAGCGTTTACTGCCCCATTTGTGCTGTGCAGCAGCATGTCTCCTGCGTGCTGGCCACCCAGAGCTACAGCCGTGCGTGACACGAGGTGACAGCCTCGACTCCCTTACAGCAGCCTGTCCTCCATAGCCCCATGGCACAGACCCGCAAACTAGGATCCTTTGTGTGGAGTCTTACAGCAGAGGAGAAAGTGCTACAGGGGGCCACATTCCCTTCCCTTCAGGCCGTGAGCTTGGTGGCGCAGGCCCTTAGTCCCAGCGCTGGGGAGGGAGGCAGAGGCAGGCGGATCTGAGCTCTAGGCCAGCCTGGTCTACAGAGTGAGTTTCAGGGCCACACAGAGAGACTCCGTTTTTGAGGCTGACGTGGGCACTTGCCGGGGCCGGCTGCTGAGACTGAATGGCCCGATGTCCTCTCTGTCCCTTCCCTGCCGGCCAGACATGTGGGGTACGGACACGCTGTACCCAGAGGAGCAGACCGGCTCGCCCTCTCGCTTCAATCTCACCGTGAAGGAGTTGCTGCTATCCGGTGGCGGTGGAGACTTGGTAGGTCCTGGATATCAGGAGGAGCCCATGTCTGCCTTGAGCAGCCTCGGACACCAAGGCCCAGAGCAGACCTGGACGCACCTCAGTCCCAGACGGTGTGTCCTGGGCTGGCCCTCTCCAGTAAAGATGAGAGAGACAGACAGGCAGGCAGGCAGGCAGAGACAGAGAGACAGACAGACATACAGAGATAGGGACAGAGAGAGACAGAGGGGGAGAGACAGACAGAGACACAGAGGTCGAAACACAGAAAGAGACAGACAGACAGAAAGCGAGGGGAAGGGAACCACTGCTGAGGCCCAGCCCAGAATGCTAGGAGAGAGGGTTAGGACCGCACTGGCCACACATGCCAGTCACTGGGTAGTGATCTGCCCCACCCTCAGCCCCGAGCCCCGCCCCCCCCCCCAGGTGGGTCCTGAACTTGAGTTCCTCCTGCCTCTGTGGTCCTGGGTGCTCAGGTGACAGGCCTGTGCCCCTCCCCACGCCCTGCTCATGTGGTTTTAGTTTTGGAGTCTGTGTCTCTACTGAAAGCCCCTTCGTTTCTATAGCAACAGCATTCCTTGGCCGCCTCCCAGCTCCTGGGGCCTGGGAATGGGCATTGCCAGGAGCTGGTGCTGACGGAGGATGAGAAGAAGCTGTTGGCTAAAGAGGGGGTGACCCTCCCAACCCAGCTGCCTCTCACCAAGGTATGCGGGCCCCGGGGTGTCTGCACACGTGTTGACGACTGGGTCTCACTTCATAGCCTGGGACCAAAGTCAGCAACTCTGCCTCTACTTCCTGGGTGCTTCAATGACGTCGCGCCTGCTGTATGTGGCACTGGGAAGGGAACCCAGTAGCCCAGGCTGGCCTTGAACTCACAGACCTGCATGCCTCTGCCACCACCCGAGTGCTGGGGTTGAAGGCTTGTGCCCGCACCTCTAATTTATCAGATTTTTCCTGCTCTTTTACACGGATGGACAATAAGGTGCTGTTTCTAGGGATCGCCACCAGGAGGCGCTGTGTCCCAAGCCACCATGGCAACCACAAAGTTTTCGGGCTGTGGGTGGAGGACAGTGTCAGAGCCCTGGAAACCTAGAGACGGAGCGGGAATGTAGGGAGAGGGTGGGCACAGCGTCCTCCCAGCATGCACGGTGCTCTGGCTTCCATCCCCAGCACCACAGAGACCTGGCAAGGTGGCACACGCCTGTCACCGAAGCCGCACTCAGGAGGGGGAGGAGCAGGAGTTCAAGGCCATCCTCGAACATCTGAGTTTGAGGCCAGCCTGGGCTACGTGAGACCTTCAAACAGGCAGAACTCTGGTTGGGTGTGCGCTTGGGGACAGCAGAGGTTGACAGAACGCCCCCTCCTCCGCAGTATGAGGAGCGAGTGCTGAAAAAAATCCGCAGAAAGATCCGGAACAAGCAGTCAGCCCAGGAAAGCAGGAAGAAAAAGAAAGAATACATCGACAGTCTGGAGAGCCGGTAAGGCGGGCCGAGGGCCGCCCCTCCTAATGGGGAGGGGGGGGGGGGGGGGGGGCCAGGGTTTTTGTGTCCTAACAAAACTGTGCCACTCCGGGACAGGAGTTCAAGGACCGTCATTCATTTGTTCATTCATTCTTTCATCTGCATGTGTCGATGAAAGACGAACGTGTGCCACCGGGCCTCTGTGGGAGCTGGAGGACAACCGTGGCAGTTGGCTCTCTGCCTCTCCTGTGGGGGGCTGTGGGGTCAAACTTGGCTCGTCAGGCCTGGCGACCCACAGAGCCGCCTCTCGGGCCTGCTCGGCTCTGCGTGGGGTCAGCCCCTGCCTGAGTGACAGCAGGCTGGGAGGTCCTCAGGTGGGAGACAGGGCGGAGGGCTGGACGCCCTTGGCACAGCCCAGGCTGCAGGGATGAGGGCGGGAACGGGAGTGCTGCTCGGACCCACACTCACATCCGGGCATCTGTGCACCTGCGTGGTCCTGCCATGCCAGCACTCCAGGCGCTGAGGCAGGGGGCTCCCCTGCGGCTCACTGACCATGGCTCGCTCGTTCCTGGCGCTTGCTGCCCTCTCTGGGGGACCGGATCCGATTCCCAGCGTCTGTGGCTCACAGCCACTGTGATGGCAGCTGCAGGGAAAGCATCTCAACTCCTGCTCCTGCGGGGAGGGCCTGCTTTGACGGGCACAGGCGCAGATAAAGACCACCAAAACCGCCTGGCCTGGGGCTGGAGAGACGGCCCAGCGGGGACAGCAGCAGCCTGTCCTGGGCTGGCCTCCCAGCGCTCACAGACCGCTCACAACCCTCTGCAACTGTAGCTCTAGGGAGCCGGCGCCCCCCTCTGGCCTCCGTGGGTACTGCACACACCCATACACAGAGCAATCCTAACTATGGTACCCCAGCGCCGGAGAGGCAGAGGCCGCTGGAGCCCACAGGGCTTTGTGAAGAGAGACGCTGTCCCCACAGTAAAAACAACCACAGTGCTTTCAAACAAAACGACGGTGGAGAGAGGCCGAAGGGGGCATTGGTGCCGCGCCCGTCCTCCACAGGCATGCCCACGCCAGAGAACACATGAGTGGCTGCCGGGCTCTGGCCTACCTGCGGATGAAGCCTCAGTGGGGCCGGCGGGTGACAGGCGTGTTCTCAGGGTCACCCGGTCCTTGTCCTCACAGGATGTCGGCGTGTACCGCCCAGAACCAGGAGCTGCATAGGAAGGTTTTGCATTTGGAAAAGCAGAATCTGTAAGTGTGTGTTGATACAGGGCGTGGGGAAGGAATCCTCTAGGGAGGGACAGACACGATGATGGCGCAGGGGCTCTCAGATAGCCGGAAAGGAGACCTTGAGGAGAGGAGTTCGATTGGGAGCTTCACCGGTTGTGTAGGAGCTGGCTAGGGAGGCAGTGGGTACATGCAAAGTCCTATGGGATGAGCAAGAACCAGCCGCAGACTCGTCCCTGGTGGCAGTGTCCTCGGTACGGAGGCCGAGCCCCTGCAAAGGCCCTGGGGCAGAACAGGGTGCTGCGGGGCAGGGGCTGAGGGGCAGACGGGGGAGGGCGGGGAGGGCCTTTTAGGAACGCTCGTACGCCATTGAGGCTGAGGGGTTCCAGAAAGGGCAGGGAAGCAGGGTGGAGGGCGCAGGGCTCAACCGGATGTCCTCCCCCGCAAGGTCCCTTCTGGAGCAGCTGAAGCACCTGCAGGCCCTAGTGGTCCAGTCCACCAGCAAGCCCGCCCACGCGGGCACCTGCATAGCGGTGAGTCCTCCCTGCGGCCATGCTCGGGGTCCCCAGGATGGGCGGAGTGCTTGGTCTCAGTGGAACAGGCGGTGGGGACTGAGCGTCTTCAATAGCAGAGGCTTGTAGCCTGGCAAGGTGGGACAGCCTTGTCCCAGGGAAGCCGAGCCAGGGGGATTGCTTCGGGTTATAGGTCAGCCTGGGCTACAAAGTCTCATCTGCCTCCTGAAACTCCCCCTCGGCTAGCTGGACCTCAAGGTGCTCACGGGTGGGGGAAGATTGGGGTGACCCTGCCCCATCTCTGGCAGGTCCTTCTGCTGTCCTTCGTCCTGATCATCCTCCCCTCCATCAGCCCGTTCACCTCCAACAAAGTCGACAGCCCTGGAGATTTCGCGCCAGTGCGAGGTAGGAGGTGCCGGCCTTTGAGCGCCGGGGGGAGGGCGAGGTGTGCTGGGCCCCGACGCCCATCCCCAGCACCATAGAAACCAGGTGAGGTGGTGCGGGCCTGTCACCCAGCACTGGGGAGGTGAAGGCAGGGAATTGGTTCAGAGCTACCCTTGGCAACGTAGGACAGCCTAGGCTACCAGAGACCCCTGACCAACAATGTGAACCATGGAACACACACAAGTTCAGTTTCTTGCCTGAAAACTAAAAGCTCATTGCTGTGGAAGTTGGCGGCAGATGGCGCAAAGAATAAAGAGCTTCGATGCCAAGGCTGCCGCCCGAACCTCAATCCCCAGATCCTCGAGGTGGAAGGGGATGGGCCTCCGCCTGCATGGTTGCCCCTTCTGACTCCCCAGTTCTCCTCAGTGTTTTCCAGGACCCTCCACAACCACGCTGCACCCCGCGTGGCTCCCGACGTCACCCCCGGGTCCGAGGTCCCAGGACCCTGGCCCGACGCTGGTACGCCCCACAAAGGGCCTCCCTCCGGCAGCCTCGCTGCAGACTGGGGGAAATTTCTGGAAATACCAATGCTGGGCAACCCGACGGAAGAGCTGGACAACTCCACCCTGCTGCTGGTCAACTCCACGGAGGAGCTGGGCAGGGCCGCCCTGCTGGCCTGGCTGCAGCCGCTGCTCAGCCCGGGCCGGGTGGGGCTGCAGATGGCAGAGGAGCAAATGTGGCTGTCTTGGATCCCCACGTGGCTCAGGGTCCGTCTGCTGCAGGGTGCCCTGGGAGAGCTGTGACGGGCAGTGACAGGCCCAGACTCACGGATAACCCCCGGCCTGACGGAGCCTCCTGGAGGCGCTGACCCACAGATTAGGTGGAAGTGGGGCCGCCAGGCACAAAGACATGAAGAGCCTGCTGTAGGACATGGCCTAGATCCCTTTACCCAGACAGACAGACAGACACTTTACACATAATCGTGATCCCCAACTCTCCCCTGATCACCGGGCAGATGCAGAGCCTGTGGGGAGCCAGGTTTCATCACGGGCTGCGGCTGGACTTTAGAGGGGGTCCAGCCTGAGGACAGCCATCTTCCTCTTTTCTTTCAGAGATAGGGTCTCACTCTGTAGACCAGGCTGGCCTTGAACTCACAGAGACGTGGCTGCCTCTGTCCTGAGTGCTGGGATCACGGGCCTGCGCCGCCTGGCTGATCCCCCCTTTTCTAAGACTGTGTGACTTTCAATAAAGTATTTTGGCAGTACTGGCGCTATGGCTCAGTGGGTAAGGCTGGTATGCATGAGGCCCTCGTGTTCCTTGGCGGCAGCGCAGGAGCAGGGCTCGGTGGCCCATAGCTGAGATGCTGAGGCTCGGCAATTCAAGGCCGGGCAGCTCGTGGGGACACCTTCCATCCCAGCCCTGGGGGCTGAGGGCAGCTGAGTTTGGGGCCAGCCTGGTGGACAGTGAGACAGTGTATCGAAAGAGTTCAAGGGCATCTTTGGGCCCACAGGGGGTTTGAGGGCAGTGTGGTCTACATGAGACCCTGTCTGTACACAGCATTTTGATAGCGAAGGTGGCTGGGGGCTCCGATTGGCCACAGCCTGGGATGGGGTTTCACTGGTACCCTAGACGTGAGCTCAGCAGTTTGGAGAGTGGCACGGAGAAGGGCATCAGCCAAGGATGGGCCCGTGCCTCCCCGAGGGTCTGGATTATGGGTGAGGACGCTGGGGCGCTGAGTGGGCCAGCCCAGCGTCACTGGAGAAGAATGCATGTCCAGCCTTGTGGGCTGTGGGCTGTGTGCACAGGAGGAGGTCAGCCATTGCAGGAGACAGTGCTCACGGGGGTAAATGTTGAACCAGGCAGGGTGGTCACACTTCAAATCCCAGTACTCGGGCGCAATCAGGGACAGCTCTGTGAGTTCGAGACCAGCCGGGACAGCCAGGGCTACACAGGGGAACTGTCCCAAAACCACAGAAACAGACTTGGGGCAGGTGACATGGTCTGGGGGGTTAGCCTCAGGCCCTGAGGGTGAGCCCCAGCCACGCGTGCCAGGAGTGGGGCCTGAGTGTAGCCGCACCTTTGCCAGATGGATCCTGAGGGCGCCTGGGCTGGCCAGTTGAAGGGAAAGGCAAGCTTCAGGTAAAGCCAGGGGAGTGAGGCAGGTGGGGAGGGAGGGGGACACAGGACCCTGCTCCGGCCCCCACACGTCAGGGGCCCCACCGAGTACCCGCACACGTGTACAAAATACACACAAGGTCTCTCAGGTGCAGCCTGAACTTGAGATCTACCAGCCTCTGCGGCCCAGGGCTGGGATCACAGGCGTGCCCCACTGCCCCCGGTACCTTTGCCATCTTTTGAGACGTGGGCTCAGTGACCAAGTGTTCATTCACCTAGCCCTGGCTGAAAGTGGCAGTTATCCTTCTCTCTTCAAGACAGGTAGCCCTGGCTGTCCTGGACTCACTTTATAGACCAGGCTGGCCTTGAACTCACAGAGCCTCATCTGCCTCTGCTTGCCCAAGTGCTGGGGTCACAGGTGCGTGCTACCCTGCCCGGCTCATCCTTTCCTGTATGCCCCGTGTGTGAGCAGGAGTCCTCGGGGGCAGGGTGACACTGGCCCCAGGACCTGGAGAGGCAGGTGGCTCCCTGAGCCTCAGTCTGCAGGAGCAGTAAGCGCCCCTCCAGGCCACAGCTCCCTCCCCCGCCCGTGCAGACACGGGTGCAGTACCGAAGGAGGCCAGAAGGAGCAGCAGAACCCTAACCTGGAGCTGCAGATGTTGTGACCCACTGTGGCCCTGCACCCTGGGCTGTCTCCAGTGCGGCCTGTCTTCTAGGCTGCCTGGTCAGGGAGGCCCAGGCGGACAAGGGCCACAGCCTTGTGAAACCTCACAGTGCTGGGGACGCAGACCCGAGCACGCACGCCTGTGTGGCGGGCAGTTGCTGCGAGGTCTGCCCAGATGGGAAAATGTCCTTTTTCAGTTTGGGAAAATGCCCTCAAACTGCCCAGGCCGGTTGCTTGAGGCAGGACCCGCAGGGCCCACATTGACCTGGAGTCGCTCACCCCCTGCCTTGCCACGCCTCTCTGAGCCCAGATGGGCATGTCCCTTCCGTCGACGGGCTGGGGTCTTGTGTTACTGGAGGATCAGGGTTGATCTCGCCGGCTTTCTTTGCTGTGCCCACCAGCCTTCTGACACTATGTGTCACAGTCTGCTGTTTGGCTGTCAGAGACCAGCCTGGGCTACATGTCTTTTTTTAATGCAGATTTAATGGCAGCTAGAGGTCGCAATACTGTACACAGCCAGCGAGTGGCAGAGCCTCACCAAGGCTTGCTCCCCACCTTCCCCCAGAGAGGTCCAGAAACTGCTTGTTGAGAACAATGACCCTGAGTGACGCACTGGGCAGCTAACCCTGGCACCATTCCCTAGCACCCTCCCAACAGCTGGACTGTCATGTGACCCAAAAATGTCACAGCCCAGAGCACTGGGAAGGCAGCAGGCCACGCCTGTGGGCAGAGCAGTGCAGAGGGAGGGGCAGGCAGGGTGCCCGTGTGAAGTTTAATGGCTGCCTGTGCTGCAGAGGACAGAGAACCACGTCCACCACCAGGTGCCGGGGAGGGGCTAGTGCAAGAAGGAAGCCACTGGGGCAGCCTGAGGCCAGGGGACCTTGAGCCGGGTATGACAGGGTGGAAAATGACCCCCCAGCTCATCCGTAGGCCCCAGGCTGGCTGGGCTAAGGCACAGGGCGGCGAGCGGGGAGCGGTCAGCAGCCAGGAGGCTCGTTTCCCTCGACCTGCAGACCCTTGCTCAGGAGGAAGGCGTCCTGCTTGGGGTCACGGCCCAGGAACTGCTTCAGCATGGTACTGGCGTCCTCAGAGCCCCCCGGCCTCAGGATGCTGGTCCGGTAGTCCATGCCAACCTGGGGGGGGGAGGAGGGTGGGGTGGGCATTAGGGCTCCATTCACCAAGGGGAAGCCGCGGTCCCGGGGTCAGCATCTCGGGGGCTGTGGGGCCCAGCTCCGCCTACTCGGAGCCTCCCGAAGCCGGAGGCCGCCGTGCTCTGGCTGGCTGAGGAGGGGCAGAGCTCACCTTGGGGCTCAGCACGCCCTCCTGCTTGAAGCGCGTATGGAACATGTCCATGGAGTACACCTCGCTCCACAGGTAGCCATAGTACTGGGCGTCGTAGCCGCCCGCCAGGTGGCCGAAAGTGGCTGGCATGTTGGTCCCTGGACAGACACGGAGCGGTGAGTAGGCTGCGGTGCCCACCTTGGGGCAGCATGGGCTGGGCAGGGGCACATGGGGCCACGGTGACAGGCCCCAGGACCTCTGCGGTGTCCTGGGATCTGCATGGTGTGCATGAAGGCCCTGGACGAGGCCCCAGCAGGCTCTGGCTGTGGCAGAGACTGGATAGTGTGGGCTCGGGTCAAGGCCTCAGGAGGAGCAGGCGAGGCTTGTGTCTCCTCAAGCCCCTGGAGGGGCCCATTCGGCAGCTCCCTGGAGTGGGGACGGGGGTGGGGGGGCCCGAACACTAGGTGGGCTGCGCGTGGTTACCTGGCGTGGCAGGCACCCCAAGGATCTCTTGGCAGAGCCGGGCATACTCCTCAGCTGGGTCTGCGTCTGTTTGCGTGTGCAGGGCCTGGTCAACCTTGGCAAGGACAATCTGCCGGAGGTTGAAGAGACCTTGGGGGAAGGTCAGAGGTCAGCCTCAGCTGCGGGAAGCGCCTGCGCTAGGCCTCCCGCCAGGCTGAGCACCGGGGGCCAGCCTCACCTGCGTTGGCCTGGCGGGACTTGATGAGCTTGTCGAGCAGCTCCTGAGGGGCCTCGCTGCCCGTGCGGTAGTGCCTGGACATGCGCATCAGCGGCTCCTTCTCCCACACCCAGTTCTCCAGCATCTGCGAGGGCGCCTCCACAAAGTCCCGCTCCACGTGCGTGCCGCTGAACATGGCGAACTCTGCCTGTATCGGGCACAACCTTAGGCATCCCGGCGTCCGGGCACCATCGGGCCTCAGCGCCTGGGGCCACCGAGGCCATCGTCATCTCCCTGCCTCTGGTCCCCAGCCTGACACTAAGATTCCCAAGGCCCTGGCTCTGCTTTCCTGCAGACTGCACCGACGAGCCCAGGGCTGGGAGAGGCTCCGGGCTGAACTGTACCCCAAAGCCATCTGAGATGCGAGTGTCGGGAGATGTTTGCGTAGAGATGGCAGTGTGAGGAGGGAAGGGGCCTGCGGCAGGCCGCCACCACAGCCCAGGAGAGGCGGGTCAGCGACAGGGAACCTGAGCTGGGAGCCAACCCAAACGGTGGGTGAGGCTCGGCTGTCTGCACACGCAAGCCCGCGCACACACACACACACGAACACACCCTCGCTCGGGAAGCGAGTGTCATGGAAACCCTTCACCCGGGAGGGCCCGCACACACCTGTGAGCAGAGCTGGTGCATGACGTGGCCGAACTCGTGGAAGTAGGTCTCTACCTCATCGTGCTGTAGCAGCGAAGGCGTGTCGGGCGTGGGCTTGGTGAAGTTGGCCACCATGGCCGCAATGGCCAGCTGCCGGCCGCCATCGGGCCGCAGGCAGCCAGGCTGCAGGCCGAAGCAGGCCGCGTGGCCGTACTTCCCTTCCCTGGGGGGGATGAGGTCAGAGAGGAGAGGGCCCCGGGCACCCCGAGCCGCAGCCAGCCAGCGCGTGGTCCCCGGGCATGGCTACCTCGGCTGGTGGGGGCAGCATGGTAGAGTGGCGGCGACCCGAGTCCCGGCAGGCCCTGCGCCCACCTGGGGTACAGGTCGAGGTAGAACTTGCCGATGTCCTCCCCCGAGGCGGCGTCGCGCACGGAATAGAGCTGCACGTCCTCGTGCCAGGCGGGCCCCTCCTCCAGCGTGAAGGCCAGCCCCAGCAGCTCCTGGTAGATGGCCAGCAGCCCCCGCGTGACCACCTGCATGGGGAAGTACTCCTTGAGCAGGTGCTGGTCCACGCGGTAGCGCGTCTCCTCCACCTGGTTCATGTAGTAGCGCATGTCCCATGCGTGGATGCGCCCGTCGAATGGCAGCCCCCGCCGGGCGCACTCTGCCTCCTTCAGCTCCAGGATCACAGCGCGCTCCTGCTCGCCCAGCGGCTTCAGCTTCTGGGCCAGCTCGTCTGTGGGGGCGGCACTGTCACCCTCGGCCACCGGGGGCCCCGGGGAAGGGCAGCACCCCCCAGCACGGACACAGGTCTGCACCATCACCCCAGAGCTCCAGGACGGGCCAGCAAGGGCAGCTGCGTGCAGCAGCCGCTGGACGCTGATGTGCCCGTGAGCAGGGACAAGGGCTCTACAGGCTGAGGGAGTGGGGCAAAGCCGAGCCGCCCGGCTGGGGTGGCTACCTAGGAAGGTGGCTACTGTCTGGCTGGTCTTGGCCATGTTCATCTCCAGGACGTAGTCGGCGTGTGTTTGGAACCCCAGCAAGCTGGCCTTCTGCGCCCGAAGGGACACCAGCTCCTTCAGGATGGCACAGTTCTCCTGCGGGGACACAGGCAGCTCCAGCTCTGCACCTCCTGGCCAGGGGCGCAAGTGTGGAGGGCTCTGGGCCGGCTGTCCTGGGACTGGCCATAGGCCGCGCCAACCTGAGCACGCGGCAAGTGGACCTGCCACCAACCCGCTCCAGCAGACCAGTGGGGACAAGCCCAGCTCCATGCGGTCAGCACAAGGGAAGAGCAGGCCTCCCAGAACAATGAGCACTGTGCCCGGAGCAGGGGCAGCCATCCCAACTGGGTGGCCTGGCCACTCTACCGCCAGACCACATGGCAACTCACACCCAGGAGGGCAGCAGGCCTCGCAGAGGCAGCACCAGCCACGAATGGGGTCGCCACGAATGGGGCCCTCGGAGGCCAGCGGAGACCTTCGGTGAGGAGTCCCGAGGGCCTGCGTTGTTAAGCGACAGTGACCACCCCTCCCAGCTGCGAGGACCCCAGGCTGTTCTGAGCAGGCCACAGCTGTCAAGCGTGCACCTCAGCCTGCAGCTGCGGGGAGTTGCGGCACTCGGGCCCCAGTTACTCTAAAACCCATGGAATTGAGGACAGGTGTCCCTGTCCCCGACTGTCCCGCTGAGGCTGAGCCCCTCACGGGCAACTCCCACGCTGACACGCAGCCAAGAGCACGGCAGCACTGGGGGGCCATGCGCCACACCTGCTGTACAGCTAATGGGGACTGCTGCGCAGGGGCCAGCAGGTGTGCTCGAGAGCAGGGGGCCAAAGTGGGTGACGGCAGCAGGGCGCCAAGGGAGGCCAGCATGGGGGACAGAGCGTCTGCTCCGCACCTCCTTGCAGCGGCAGTTGAAGGCCTCCTCCAGCAGGCGGCGCGTCTCGGGCACATGGCACTTCTTGAGCAGCGGGAAGTAGTGTGGGTACTTGAGGGTGACCTTGAGCTTGCCATCCTCCGTCTTCTCCAGCGAGTTCAGGAAGTCCTCAGGGAGCCCGCCTGTGGGTACGGCGGATGCTGTCAGGACACAGCCTTGCGGGCGGGCCGGCAACCCTGGGCCTGGGCCATGATGTCTCCAGGCGGCCAGTGAGTGCAGTGAGGGCTAAGGAGCATCTAGGAGGCCATCCCAGGCAGGAGACGCAGGAGAGGGGCCATGACAGTACATTCCTGCAGCAGACCTGCTGAGGTCCTTAATGTACCAGAGGGCGAGGGGGTTACAGGCCCAGGGTGAGGGCCCAGACACCGCAAGTGGGCGCTGGTCCTCCAAGGCCCCGGGCCAGGGCCAAGAAGCACCACCCCTTGTCCCGGCTAAAACCCATTCTGTGTGGTCGGGCGCCTGTGGGGCCCTGGCCACCGGCTAATAGGGAAATGCCAGGACGGCCATGGCTGCCTCAGCTCAGGGCTCCTGCAGCAGAAGGGATCTGGGTTAGCAGAAGCCAGCTCCTGCCTCCCAAGGAAGGACCCTCCCTCCCTGGGCCCCACCCCCGCCCCTGTGGCATGCCCACCTAGCTCCTCTCGTGTGAAGGGCAGGAAGGTAGTGTCCTCATTCAGATTCTTGTTGAAGTCGATGCACAGCAGGCTCAGCCTCTTCTTGATGCTCTTGATCTTCTGCAGAGACACAGCGGGCCGTGAGGGCGCCAGCCTCTGCTGCCCCCCAGGCACCCCTGAATTGGTGCCCTCTCCCAGGCTTCCTCAGGTGGGGAGGACCCTGGGCCTGCGGCCTGAGCTCTGGGCCGTGGAGATGGAGATGGGGACGTGCTGTCAAACACAGAAACTGATGGGGTGGCCCTCTGCTAAGCGAGGCGGGGAGCTGGGCTCCGGCTGTGGACCCCGCCATTGGCCGGTGGACGGCATAGCTACGGGAACTTCTCAGCAGACGACGCTGGGACAGGGACTGGGACCACAGGTGGCCCGAAGGGACTCCTGGGCCTCTGCTGAGCAAAGACGCAGGCCGGAAGACGCCTCCGACTTCCTCAGAGCCAGCCAGCCAATGAGAGCCGGGGACCAGGCAAGGAACGCTAGGACGCACTGCCCCCGGGAGGCCCTGCCCTGGCCCACCCTGCCAGAATGTGGGCTCGCTGTGACACTGACTAGGCAGGGGCCGCTGGGCCAGCTCTGCCCGAGAGTCCCGGTGGATCTGGATGCTGCCCCTCAGCAGGTCCTGGGCTCTGATGCAGCTGGCGGCCTCGGGGGTGGGATCACCTTGGCGGGACCTCCACTCGGGAGCTGCCTTTCAGGGCATCCACAGAATCACTTCCTTTTTCAGGTCTGGCCAGTGCCGGGCCACCTGTCCTCAGTGCTCCAGTTAGCTGTCCCCCTGCTCTGCAGCCTGATGCAACAGCGCGACAGCTGTCTCTGCGCGTGCCAGGTCTTCAGGGCAGCCCAGGAGGCACGCCTGGGACCCACGTTCCAGGCTGGGCAGAGCCAAGCGCGGGTGGCCGTGACGGTCTGGGTTCAGTGACTCTCTACAGAGCTGCTTCTCTGGCTCAGGCCCAGGCGGAGGACACAGATGTTCTCGGGAGGCTGGGACTGGAGAGCCTGGGGAAGAGGGACACTCACCTCCTGTGTGTCCTGAGGGAGGTGGAGCCCGTTCCTCCGGCCCAGCTTGATCAGCCGCTCCAGGTAGCGTGCTGCCTCAGGCCGCAGGGAGTCCTTTGGGACTTTCTCCTAGAAGCAGCCAGCAAACACTCACGTCAAACACCAGGTGACAGCAGGGTAGAGTCTGTCCCCTTCTGTGGCTCTCGCCCACAAGGTGGCTTGAAACCACCTGTGACTACAGCTCCAGGAGACACGGTGCTAGCTTCTGGCCTCCATGGGCCGCAACACATATGAAGACACCCACAAACAGACAGAAAACATACACGAGATTAAAACAAACAAACAAAAACTTTATAAACCGACTTTTATGTGCATTGGCGCTTTGCCTGCATGTATGTCTGTGTGAGGGTGTTGGGTCTCCTAGACCTGAGTTATACAGTTCTGAGCCGCCATGTGGGTGCTAGGAATTGAACCTGGGTCTTTGAGGAGCAATCAGTGTGTTGACAATTGAGTCATCTCTCCAAGCCCCCAAAACAAACATCTTTTTGTTTGTTTGGTTATTAGAGACAGGGTTTCTCTTCGTAGCCTTGGTTGTCCTGGACTCACTTTGCAGACCAGGCTGGCCTCAAACTCACAGAGATCTGCCTGTCTCCGCCTCCTGAGCGCTGGGATTATAGGCGTGCACCAAGGAGCCCAGCTAACAAATATCTTAAACCAACCAGAAACCCACAATCTGATGGTGCGGGTTTGAGGTTAGAGGTGATTGCAGCCAAGCCTGCAGACCAGAGTTCAATCACCAGGCCACAAACGGTGGAAGGAGAGAACCACCTCCACAGGAAACAAATTCATAAATGATTACACAGCCAGGCACCGAGACACCCAGAGACGGCAGCTCCTGAGACTGAGACAGAGCATCCCGTTCCCAGTCAGCACAGGTAACGGAGAAACACCCCGCCCCCAGCATCACAACAGGACCCCCAGTCTTGACCGCAGCCTGCCTCGGCCGGGGCCAAAGCGCTCCTGGCTGCACAAAGGCCGACCAACAAGACTGGCGTGAGCTCCGAGGCAGAATTTTCTTTCTGTTCTTTTCTTGGTGTAGGGCAGACAACCTACCTGAGCTATGCCGCAGTGGCCTCCCCTCTCCCGGGGGACTCCAGGCAGGGCTTGGCCACTGAAGGTGCAGCCCTCTTTTGTTTACTGCAACAGGCTCTCACATAGCCCAGGTTGGCTTCCAGCTTATCACGGAACCAAGGATGGCCTGGAGCCTCATCTCCACCAGCTGAGTGCGAGAGGAGAGGCATGCACCCTAACACCCTGTTTTATCCCAACTGGTCCTGGCAGGCCTTGAACTCCTGATCCTGCTGTCTCAGCCTGTCAATCACATCTTACAACTGTGTGATAATTACAGGTATTTCAATAACAGAAACCTTGGCCCCAGTGAAGGTGCCAGCACGCTGGGCCGGCAACCATGGTGCCTGCGCTCTACATGCTATCCGGGTTCAGGTTGCACCCCCAAAGTGGCTCTAGCGCACAGCCTGCATGGACAGTGGCATCAAGGCCACCAGCCGCGTGGTCAGCGCCCCGGGGCCTCGCTTCCTTCCGCCAGGGCTTCTGCCAACCCCGCCACCCACCTGAAGCCACACGACCCTCTGGTACACGTCCTGCCTCATGCTCATCTCCACATCGAACTCCGAGAGCTTCTTGTCAGCCTCCGTGCTGGCTGTGCGGATGGCCTTGCACGGGGACACGTGCTGTGGGAAGTCCAGAATGTTCCTCTGCACTGAGGGGGAGACACGGGGACACGGTGAGCGGAGCAGGCCCTCCGGCCGCCTGCGGAGACCCTGCTGCCCCCGGCCGGGCTCAGGCACGCTGACGGAGCGATGGGCCCATGCCCTGCTCACGCCCAGGCAGGCAGTGAAGCCATCTTAGCGCCGTGAGACAGGAGCAAGCCTCAATTTGGGGCCGCACAAGCTTGAACGCTACTGCACTTGGCCTGTGAGCCAGCCAGTCGCTTCCCCAGCAGGAAGCCAAGAGCACAGGCCATCATCAAATTCTGTGCCTGTGCACAGCAGCGCCCACAGCAGCCAGAGGACCGAGGACCATGCAGCCACCAACAGGAGAGAGGCTCTGACACGCACAGCGCCAGCCAGAGACCCAGGTGCAGAGACCCGCAGAGTCCAGAGGCAAGCAGCAGAGGTGCCGGGGTGCGGGATGGGCCAGGGACGGCTCAGTCTGGGTGTGGTGACCCTGGATTAACCCACTGGCCACGGAGAGAGTCCCTGTAGAGACAGCTGCGCGACACTGGCCAGCGCAGGAAGGACCTGGTCCCTTCAGCACTTCAGCTGCCCATAAATAAGTGAGGAGCCCCGGCACACAGTGGGCGGCAGGGGGGGGAGGGCCCCGGGGACCCTGAGCGCAGGAAGGCCCCAGAGGGGAGCAAACGAGACACGGGCCTCCACACGGAGTCCCCAGGGGCGAACTGAGACACCGAGAGGGCGCAGTCCAGACCCGCTTGTTTCTTTCTTTGTTCTTTTTGTTTTGGAACAAGGTCTTGCCATATGCCCCAGGGGAGGCCTGAATTTATGGCAATCCTCCTGCCTCGGCCTGCTGAGTGCTGGACTCAAGATGTGCGCCACCATACTGGGGTTCATCTTGCTTTTCTTTCTGATCTGTCCAGCCCCCACAGGGAAGGAAGGGCTGTGGGAGAGGCTGGCAGGGGCATCAACAGATGCCTGGTACAGTGACGCTAGGCCAAAGGAGGCTCTGCTGGGTGATTCCTACCTCAGCCTTGAGGACGAGGACATTGCTGGAAACAGGCTAAGGACTCAGCCTTCCTGGCTGAGGCTGGAGCAGGCAAAGGAGAAGTTGGCTGCATCTGAGGGGAGTGTAAGCGTTTCCCCACAGGCAGCCTGAGGAGGGGTAGCAGGCTGATGGCAGGCCCATCTGGACCACACCTGGGGATGCGGAAGGAAGGAGCCTGCTGGACCCGAGGCGAGAGGCTTCAGCATGGTCCTCAGTCCTCTGGCTGCTGTGGGCGCTGCTGTGCACAGGCACAAGATCTGATGATGGCCTTTCCTGGTCCACTGGCATACAGGGGCTCTCAGTCCTCCAGTCTGCTGTGTCTGCCGGGCCTGAGGCAGAAGCTGTCCTGCTTGGTGGCAACACCTAGCATCGCGTTATAGAAACGGGGCGGAGGCAGGATAACACAGGAGGATGTGAAAAGGGGAGCCATGATGGCCACGGTTCAGCCCTGGAAGGGGCCTGAGGCACCGAGGCTGAGACGTGAAAACTTGTAGATCACACATCTCCCCGCACCAGGAATGTTGCCATGCTAACAGCAGATTCCCTGTGGAAGTGTGGGGCAGAGGCAGGAGGATGGCTGGGACTCAGAACGGTGTGTCAGGCACAGAAGGGGGACTCAAAACAAAACAGAGCCGAGGCGCAGCAGGCAAAGGTGTCCTGTCCGTCAGCAGGCCCACGCATGACTGTGATCCCAGCACACAGGAGTCTGAAGTGAGGGACTGCAAATTTGAGGCAAGCCTGGGCTACGCAGTAAGGGCTTGTCTCAGAACACAAATGAACAAGGGAGATGGCCAGTGGTTCGAGCACCTGCAGGGGACCCACAGGACCCGGGTACCATTGCCAGCACCACTCGGTACTTCAAAAATGCCTGTGGCTCCTGCTCTAGGGGACTCGACACCCCCTTCTGGCCTCAGTCGGAGCTGCACACGTGTACAGACCTTTCTCTAGCTGCTGGGATTAAGGATGTGTGCCACAAAGCCTGGCTTAAAAAGAAAAAATCCTTAAAAGAAAGAAAACAGAGTCAGACCAGGGCTGTCTGTAAGCTCAGGCAGGGGCTGACACCGGCAGACAGAAGCCACAACAAAGTAGGTTTCAGGCTGTCCTGAGCTGGCTCCTTATGGCCACGGTGCAGGGAGGAGCAGCAAGTGGGAATCCCCCCCAGACCCGAGACACTCCTGAGCTCACCCGTGTAGGTCACCTCCACGTCAGCCAGGGCCTTCAGCGTGTTCTCGTAGGACACGTCCTCGAAATCCTGGGAGCCCACGCGGTCGTACACACGCTTCGTCTGTTCCATGAGCTCCTTGCTCAGCACCTCGATCTGCTGGGCACTCAGGTCCCAGCGCAGGAGATTCGGCGAGGAGCGCGCGGGCGCCGCATCCACAACATCCCCAGTGGAGGCTGCCGGGGCGGGAGACATGGACTGAGCCTCGGCCAAGGTGTGCCTGCCCACCGTCCTCCTCCCGGGACCTGCCGGGGTGGCGATGTCAGGAGCGGAGACACAGCCGTGCCCCGGTTGCTCAGGTCGTGGGGTGTAGGGTGTCCTCACACAGGGGCCCTGGCCCCAGCCCCTTTCCCCTGCTGAGGAACCCTGCTGCTTTGGCAAAGGCCGTCCTAGAAATGGAAGCCCAGGCTTCGGCCGGCTGCACCCTTTCAAGGTTTCCAACTTCTCCCAAAAAGGAGGGTCCAGAACCACTCGCTGGGAGAGACCGGCCCCAAGGGGCTTCCAGAAGTCTGTCTCCCTACTGTCCCGTTCTCTACACCATGTTGGCGCCACAAGCCATCCAGCAACATGCCATTCAGGATTAGGTGTGGTCCTCCACACCCCTGGTGCTGGCAAGCTATAATTAAGGCCATTCCTGCCCCTCTCGGGCCTCACTGACAAGGGTGCATGCAAGTGGGGCTGGCGGGCGGCACTCTGCGATGACCAGGACAGCTCAAGGACAGGTGCCATGGCTGGCACACAACAGGAGCCACCAGCAGCTGCTGTCGCTGACCCCACAGTCCCAGCAAGGCTACTGGGCACCGCCAATGGACAATCCACAGCCACGTAAAATGAAGGTGGGGTGGCACACACCTGCCCTAGAGCACACCTGAGCCTTAAGACACAGCAATGAAGGCTGTGGAGACCGGGTGGCAAGGACAGGAAAGGGGGCTCCCCACCAGGAGATGGACTTCGACGGAGTGACTGGTGCTTGTTTTAAGTGCTCGGGAGGCTGGAACAAGAGGATTCCATGCCTGAGGTCCAAATGGAGAACATAAGGGCAGCCATGTTTCAAATAAATAAAAATAAAAATAGGGACGGGGTTGTGGCTCAGTGGGCAGAGCGCTTGCCTAGCGTGCACAAAGCCCTTGCTCCGTCCCCACCATCATAAAATCAGGTGCGGAGGGGCACGCCTGTCATCCCAGCACTTGGGAAACTGAGGCAGGAGGATCTCTAAGTTCAAGGCCAGCCTGGTCTACAAAATGAGTCCAGGATAGCCAGGGCTACACAGAGAAACCCTGTCTTGAAAACAAAAAGTAAGGGAGACGGGCAGCAGTTAGGAAGCTACTCAGTGTCAACCCCTGACCTGTATGCACGGGCACACACACACACACACACACACACACACACACACACACACACGTGTGTACACACCCAGAAACGAAGGGCTGTACAAGTGGGAACAGGGCCAGCCAGGAGAACAGAGAGAATCCAAAACTTCTGGAGAACTAGGATTGCGACATGCTTCTGTAAACATCTGGATTACCGCCTCCACTTTGGGTCATCTGCAAGTTCCCGTGTAGCAAGAAATTCTAACTATTCCTGCTTCCATGAGCCTGGTCACAACTAGGGGATGATCCCATGGCATGAGAAAACACATCGGTGGCAGCCCAGAGAGGCGACACACACCCTGGACCACAGTCTAAGATACCACACAGGTCACAGACCACCCTTTGGGATTTTTTTTTTAAGTGGTGCTACCCAGGGCACCACTTTAAGGTTTAAAGGTTCCCGTTTAAGGCAGGAGCACTTGCCGAGTTGCCGAGGCTAGCCTTGCAAATTCTGGAGGTGAGATCCTAGTCTGTGTCCCACGCTTGGGAAGACAGGCCGGCACCGGCTCAGTTCCTGGCTCTGGATTAAACAAATCCAGGGGATGCCAGGGTGGTTGAGCAGTTGAAGGCGCTTGCTGCCAACCCTGACAGCCTGAATTCAATGCCCACGACTCACGAGGTGGAAGGAGAGACAACTCCCCATGAGGATCCCTCCACACACACCAAATACCATTAAATAAAAGCCAAACACGCCCCTCATCTTCTCGGGCGGCTCTACACCTGATGATGGGATCCCTGCCCGGCGGCTGCGCCATCGAGGATGCTTCCCGCCCACCAGGACCGGCAAGAGGAGGATGGGTCTCCCAGCTAGCCCTGCCAAAGCGGCGTGACCATTGTACTCAGAAAATGGTCAAGGGTGCCTGCCCGCTCTTCCAGAGCACCCTCGCCACCACCTGGAACGGACTTGAGGTGCAGAGGATCCCCACACTCTTGTGGCCTCCGTTCCACACACGTGCACACCCCCCCCACGTAACTAAAAAGAACCCTGAAACCACGAAAGGATGGAGGAGTCGCGAGTACCCCGACCCCTCTAAACGCCAGCTGGCGCCCGTTCCTGGCACCCCGGCTGGCACGCCGCCGTCTGGGGTAGCCTTCCAGCAGCCGCGCGTTCACGCCGCGTGCGGGCTCTGCTCGGAGCCCCGTCGGCTGCCCACCCCACTCCAGGCCGAAGGGCGGGAGGCAGGAGCCAGGCCGTCGCTTTCGCAGGCCGGTGTGCCAAGGGGATGAAGTCACGGGAAAGTTAGTTCATTCATTCCGCGGAGGAGGGGTCGGGGTCGGGGGCCCCGCGGGCTCCACCTGCCGCAGGGGGCGGAGAGGGCGAGGGGCGGCGCGTACCTGCGGGGGGCTTCATGGCGGCCGGCGGCGTGTGCGGATGGTCCTCCTGTCGTCCAGTCGCCTGGGCCGCCCGGGGCGCCTCGACTCACCTCGGGAGGCTCCGGCGCTCTCGCTCACAGACTTAAGTGCTCGCCGCCCGCGCGCTCGGAGCACGCTGGGAAGGCGCATGCGCGCGAGGGCTGACGGGCGTCCGGAGTGCGCACGCGCGGGGACCAACCAGTCTGGCGTCGGCGCAATACGGTGCCGTCCCTGTGGTCTTGAGGCGGCCGCGCGGACGGGGCGGTTTTGCGCGTGCGCAGAGCACAGCGGGCCCCGCGATTGGCTGTCAGAGATCAGTGGGCGGGGCCTTCGACTCCACCTTAGCGGGCAGGATGCTGTTTCCATGGGAACCTGACACCGCTCTTCCTTGCAGGCTCTTTTCTGGGACTGTGTTGCTTCATTCGGGCTGTGTGCGTTTGTGCTTGGCCTGTTCGTTCATTTCCTTTCCTTCTGTTCTTCAGCCAGGGCCTCACGTAGCCCAGGCTGGCTTCACACTCTCCATGTGGTCAAGGCTGACCCTGAGCTCCAGATCCTTCCGCCTCCACCTTCTGAGTTCTGGGATGACCTGAGCGCACCACCTTGCCTGGCTACTCTTTCTTTCCCTCCCTTCTTTCCTCTCTCTCTTTTTTTGAGACAAACTCTCGGGTAGCCCAGGCTGGCCTGGAGTTTATAGTGCAGTCAGGCTTCAAATTCCTAGCAACCTGTCATCCCAGCCTCCGGGTTTCTGGGACGGCCAGTGTGAACCGCCATGGTCTTTGTCTTTGGCTTGCCTTGTTTTGTTTTTTGAGCTGAGTGTGATGGTGCACTCCTGTTACCTACCGGAGTAGCCTGGGCTTCATTCCGCGTCTTGATAACCGCAAGCCTGTAAGACCGGAGTCACAGCTCAGGAGTCCAGGATCGCCGCGCCCTTCCCAGGAACACTCACAGAACACAACTCGATGCAAAAGCAAGAGGTTTATTCCAATCACCAGGGTCGCCCGTCCAAAGACAGGAGACGACCCTGAACATGCAAAGCACAGGGTTTTTATGCCTGAAAATCAGACCACTTTTGCTCTATACATTGATTGGTCAGCAAGAAGAGCATGAAGATAGTTTACAGCTGGTTGTAGATAGTTTTTCTCAGAAGAGTTCACCCTACCCTACAAGAGCTATCTGCACCTGGCTTCAGTTCAAATAATCGCAGTTGTTTTTCTCATTCCCAGGTAGTCCCTCAAGCCAAACAAACAAAACTCGGCTACATCACGTCTGGCAATTCGTCGGTGTCTTGTTGCCGGCTGTGATAAATCACTCTGTTTTAAGCAGCAACAACAGACCTCACGATGGCTCAGTGGGTAAGAGCGCTGACGTCCAGAGGATCAGACCAGATCCCAGGACTCACAGCTGCCAGCCACTCCAGCTCCTGGGGACCTGACATCCTCTTCTGGTCTCTGCAGGCTCTGCGTGCACACAAACACATAAGCAGACTCCTTTTAAACGTAGATTAGTGGAAACAGCTTATTTTAATGTGCAGCTCCAGGTTCAGGCCCTGGAGGTAATCAAGCCAGCAGGAGAATGCCACTGGGAGGCCAGCGCCTGAGCACTACTGACCTGCTCGCTTTCTCCAGTATCACAGTCCAGGATCTGCTCAGGGATGGGCCTGCCCAGAATCAAGACCAGTTCAGTTGACAGGCGTACCAAGATCACCCCACAGGCAATCGCAGATGCCATCTCCCCAGCGGTTCCATCTGTAAGACCTGGGGTCTCACAGCTCAGGAGTTCAAGATCGCACCCTTCCCAGGAATTCCCACAGATCACAACTCGATGCAAAAGCAAGAGGTTTTTTTTTTAATTCCAATCTCGATAGGGTCGCCCCTCCAAAGGCAGGAGACGACCCCGAGCATG